ACACACACACACACACACACACACACACACACACACACACACACACACACACACACACACACACAGAGCATTGTTGTGAAGATGTGCTGAAGTGGGAGTGTCAAAAACAGTAGGAGGTTCTTAAAGAGACAGAGGCCAATTTCAAGGTGCTTAGACAGACTATGATGCAAAGTCAACTTTATTTTTATAAATACAGCATTTTTATAACAACTGAAGTTTAAAGTTACTTTTTTACCTCCACCAAGGGAGGAGGTAATGTTTTCGGTTGATTTTAATGGTTGATTCTTTTTGCTAAACTGCAACATTTAAAATGAACAACTATTAGATCAGTAAAAATGTTGAAATAAATGGAAATTTAACAATTTGATCTTTTCCTCTGTGAGTTGCTCAAAGTCCAGATATTTTACACATTTGTACAAAAGAATGGGTCAATGTGCTAAAAAGTATTTTCTACTTATTAAGGTCTGTTAAAGTCGTGTTTTTAAATTCTTTTTCACATTTAAATCATTCAGTTGGTGTAAGTGAAACCGCAATGTTTTGGTCTGAATTCCTTCGTATTGTAACTCCACAAGCCCCTCTTTCACCCCTTTTTCTGAACTGTGTCTCAGATCAACTCATTTTGAGGCTGTCTCTTTAAATCCAAATGAGGCGCTTCAAACCCCACCCCCTCCTAAATCCAGAGCACTCCATTCTAGTTTGATAGAAGGATTTACAGCTATATAGAGTGCAGAAACTTTTTATTGACAAATTAAAGATGTCAAAAAACAGAAGACTTGTGTCCATCCAGCCTTATGTTGGAGCCAGAGTCTGACCATGAGCCAGTTGGTAAGTTCAGAACATATACTGTATGTCTGCTCTGTCACACATTCTATGATGTAATAGCTCTGAAAACGTCATAGAAAAAAGAGAAAACCGTTTAAAAATCTGTCTTTTCTGTACTCCTAGAGTCTCTAAGTACACAACAAAATGTATTGAACAGCTAAGAAAAGTCAATTTTGCATGAGACATCCCCTTTAAACTCTTGATTGGTTTTAGAAAACTTGTTTTTGTTTTATTTCCTGTAAACTCGTATGTAAATCAAACTGCATGTCTTAGTTTGTCCCACATGAAGAATTAATACGGAACACATCGAGACAAGAACAAAATAACTAAATAAACAATAAGTTCTATAAGTTCATTTATTTTATTTCCCAGCTGGGGGACTTTTTGAATCTGTTCCTTGTTGTGTTTTAATAGTGATCTCCTTCCGTCTTAAAAATGGGAAAATCCCTGATATTAATTGCCAAGAAAACCTCAGATTCCCAGACTTTTCCCAGCATCAGGCTCTGACAACATCCTCTGCAGGAGAATCATTAGCACTGCTACGAGTTAATCTTCAATTTCATGCAGAGTGATCACCGTCTAGTTATGTTGAATCATGGAGGAGATCCAGAGACTGAACAGGAGAAAGCAGAAAGAGTGCTGGACCGAGTAACACACACGGTAAATAACAAAAGAAAAAGGGTGAAGAGGTGGAACAAAAACAGGGATTGTGGGTAATGTCTGCTGCCGAGCGAGCAAACGCATCAGTAAACTGAAAGAGGGATTAGACCCTGGAGTCGCCTCTGTCTGAGCCACTTTTTTTCACAGTATAGATGTTCAGACCGATGTCCCGATGAAGAATAAATCCCTCTTTAACCCTTTTTTTTATCAAGTCATTCCTCAGACGTGTGTCATCGCCACTGTCTGTCTGCGATAAAATAAATCTACAACAAAGTTAAAGAATTAAAAAGGCTGATCTTTCACCTTTATCTCTTCAGGGAACATCTGAGCTGGGACAGAGTTCAGGAACAGCCTCAAGAAGCAACATTTTTTTTAGCGTGTATCTATTTAAAAAGGCTTTTCCATTTGTTTGTGTATCTGGGGGCTCGTGGGAAAGGCTGGGAACATATCGGCTAGTTTTAGCTCTGTTTTGGTCTGCAGCAACTCACATGAAAACAATCTGGCTCTTATGACAACACTGTAAACACACCACTAAACTCACTGTGGGGTGAACAGGTTGTCTATGAAAGAAAAATGACCATGGTGACGACTAAAACAAGAGCAAACATCAAGCTAAAAGGCAAAACACACAGAATTATTCGTTGTTCTTCATCCCTGCCAGAAAGTTACCGTCATTGAGTTAAATATAACTAGAGTGAGCCCCGCCCATCCCGTCCACTGTTAGCATCTGTGACATCATGGAGGAGCAAAGATGGCGTCCAAACAGGGCAACAACTCACAGCATAAGCAACTATTTGATTAACAGCAAGGCCAACTGGATCTCTGTCACAATAAATTTCTAATATTATTACAATACATTAATATAATTGATAATTATGTTATTTCATTCAACAATCATGTAAAGCAGCAAGATAAATAAAAGTAAAATATATAATTTATTAGTAATGACAATGTAAACCAGACCTGAAGTCAGTCAGTATCTTTGATGTTTTTAGCTAGTTGAATAATTATGATGTCAATAAAGTAATAAAGTNTTATTATTATTATTATTATTATTATTATTATTATTTACCAGTTGACACTTAGAAAATGTTCTCTGCCTACCTGGTTATAGGATGAAACTTGTTTCTACTAAAACAAGCTAACCAGCTTCTCAACAGGTCAGGTTTGTCTAATAGAAACTTAAAAATAGTCAAGTATGTAATATCATTATGCACTGTGTAAATATTACATAAATCAAAGATAAAACCAGCTTGTAATATTTAATAATTTGTGTTCATTTGTAGCATGAGTCAGCAGAATTCTACACTCTGTATAACAATATGCTTCTGAAGATAATATCTGCTAACCAATTCAATAAACAGTGATTACATCAGCTTTAAAGGCTTATTTTAAGCTTCAACTATTAAAGTGTGAACATCAGTTCTGGTCAGATCACATACACACTGAGGTAAATAAGATAAAATGCACTCCTGCTATTTGTACCATCATATTAAAGTCCACTCATCACAGGAGAACAGATGAGACAATTTGATGAAATGTTTTTCAGTTACAAAAAGGCTTCAATAAACTTATTTTTATTAGGGAATTTAATAACATCGTCTTGATGTTTTGTAAGGGCACAAAAATGCATTCTAATCAAATAGATATCATACAACTAAAATGTTTCTCTTTAGCTGTTTTTAATGTATATTTAGATATGAGATTCGCTATATAAGATTTAATTAATGCAAAATTCAGACTTTTTCATGTTCTGTAAATTGTATTTAAAACAAAGCTGCTGCTGTTGATCATTCTGTTTTCATAAGCAGCCCTCCCAAGACAAATACGGGAAACACTGGAAATGTCTAAAAAAATTTATTGAAGATGTTTTTGATAATCGAAATGACTGACAATATTTTTGTAGTACAAAATAGAAGGGGAGTCGTGTAAATTATGTTTTCATTAAAACAAGTACCCCCGCCCCTCCACTGCCCAGACCAATTTCTGAGGGGAAATACTGCTGTGTATCACTGCAGCCGAAAATGACACCAAACACACTGCTGCTCACTTTTCCTTGTATTGCCAGTAAATATGATGTCAAACATGTAACAAGCTATAGCTAGCAAACGGAGCTATTTCTTGATTGTATTTTTGGTCTCATAGAAACTAGAGCTCAGTCCCAACCTGCAGCACTTTCCTCCCTGCTATGAGCTGTAAACGAGGTTAGAGTGCTTCCAATCTGACATGGTGCTTGCAAAAATCTATGGAAAATACTGTATTATGTGTTATTATGTGTAATAGTTAGTGATATAGTGTAGCAGGCATTACATTTTTATGATCGGTGTTGTTTAATGTTAGCAGCAATCAGCTTTGGTCTTGACCTGGCTCTCACTTGCTGTTAACAAAAAATAAATAACAAAACACTTTTTTTTCCAAAAGTGAGGTTACTCAAATAGTTATCTACGACAGGTAAGATACTGACTGATCCTAACCTTTCCACAGCATCCCTGAGAAGCTGTAACAATAGTTGACAACTCTACCTTTTGCAGCATCGTGGTTCTGAAGTCCCAGTTTGTTCTCAGCCAAGCCGGTAGCGTTACGGTTGAGCCCAGAACCAAAGTTCTTCTTCCTCCGACTCCCCCTCAACCAGCTGAGAGCCTGTCCCAGGGAGCTTCCTGGCTTCCTCTGCCCACGCTGAGCCCTCACCTCCCTGGCTAGGATCTCAGTGATGTCCTTGGGCACCAGATCGCCTGTAGACCTCCTCCGGGACATCCTGAGGCCAGTCCTGGAAGCCAAGGACTGGGTGCTTCCACTAAGATCCGAGTTCGCTCTGCAGGGTTTGATGAACGCCTCTGCCTCGCTCTCTGGCCTGTCTCTGTTTTTACTGACTGTCACCACCTGGGACAACAGTGGGATCAGCAGGATGGGAGGAAGAGGCTGGAAATGAAAGCCAAAGAGAGGAGAAAGAGAGCAATCTTTTAGGAAAAAAACAGTTTTTACATAAAACAATAAGAAAAAAACAACTAAAAACTGACACTAGCCTGAGCAACAACACAAAGCTCACTAAATTTTCCAGTCACAGTGTTTCTGTCCTTTCATTTTGCTGTGGCTCCATAAAGGAGCGCTCTGCAGAGTTTATATGTGTCTCTGTGTGTGAGCCATGTGGTTCAAATCAGCAGAAATTAGAGAATGAAAAGAAGCTCGGAGCACGTAAAATAGCAATAACAGAAAACTTGAAACACACATAAACAAAGAGTTAGAGCTGATTACAGCACAAACTCCCTTTAGTTGTTACACACAAAGCAAAGATTTCCAGCGAAGACATGAGAGTTTATAACTTACTCAGTGATCTGCTCTCTTTGCTGCTCGCCTCTTTTCTCTCAGCCTGAGAAAACTATTGCAGGGCGTGTGTGTGTGTGTGTGTGTGTGTGTGTGTGTGTGTGTGTGTGTGCGTGCGTGCGTGCGTGTGTGTGTGTGTAACAGGTATTTTTAATCTGAAAAGAGCTTCACCGAGTGAGA